CGTTGGAGCAACGTTGACTCCGAGTCCATACGACCTGATAATCACAAAGAGAACCTGCTAATCACTTATTGACACAATCACTGTTATACTAATATAGGCCCACACTAGACAGTAGGTTATTTGATCTGTAAACAAGGTACCGATGAAAGTCCTTGTTGTACATGAATAAAGTTAAAAAATTATGAATCATGGAGCTCAAAGTCTGTCTCTTATACACATCTAGATGTGTATAAGAGACAGGAAATAACCTGGCCAAAACCAGAAGAATTTAGACCGGAAAGATTCATTGATGGCAATGGTAAACTGATCAAATACGAAGAATTGATTCCGTTTTCGGTCGGTAAGTACAGTATTGCTTACTGTAGGAAAATAAATTATCTTCCGTTTTTCCTTAACGTCAACGCCAGTGCGCCGCCACCACTGTGACAGCTATCATTATCAATAAGATCAACACCTTTTAAATATTTGTGTTTTTTTTTTGTTTTTTTTTTTATATCGCAGGCCGTCGTTCTTGTGTAGGAGGGCAACTAGCCCGAATGGAACTGTATCTTTTTTTTACGCATCTTCTGCATCATTTTCAATTTACATTGCCTGCAGACAAATCCAAGCCATCCACTTATCAGCACGTTGGAGCAACGTTGACACCGAGTCAATACGACCTGATAATCACAAAGAGAACCTGCTAATCACTTATTGACACAATCACTGTTATACCAATATAGGCCCACACTAGACAGTAGGTTATTTGATCTGTAAACAAGGTACCGATGAAAGTCCTTGTTGTACATGAATAAAGTTAAAAAATTACGAATCATGGAGCTCAAAGTATGCCAAACACTAATCTCTTTGGAAGAGCATAAAATAAATGATGTACAGAGAAATCCTAAACACTCAATGGTGATTTAAACTTTGGCTATGTTCATACACGGCAGCTAACGGTAGCAGGATCCGGATTACAAAAATACTCGCTCACCCGTGCATTCACTTAGGATCTGGATCCTGCTAAGCGTTAGCTACCGTGCGTTCATACCAAACAATCCCCGATCCAGACGATGAATAACTATTAAAGCTCTATGCCCGCCAAATTTTAATTAAAAACCAAAAGGTTTTTATTGTGAAAAAATGTATATAAAGGCCTTCATTACTATAATTATTATAAACCATGGAAAATATTAGCATACATTTTAGTTTTAAGCAAAAGAATAAAATCAAGGAGAAATATAGACTATTTCTCAAAGGGGATTACCATTTATCCTTCTTTACTTTGCAAATTCAGAGGTTCTAGATGGCATCCGTTGGAATGCTCTCCACTTTGTGTACTTTATACAGTAAATAAAGTGCGCCCTCTCTAATGAGATTAGTTTTGTACTTTGTATCTCGCACGGTCGATCGAGGATGCCTGAGATATGCAAAATATCGTTCAGAATCATTCCAATGAAATATTATATTTCACAAGTGTTAATAGCAAGCTGTTGGTCAGCGTTGCTGATATATTTGATTTGTAATAAGTTTTCATAAAAAAAAAACAAAACTGCCTGTTCATTTAGCTCATCATACAACAAATGATCGTAAGGGGAAAGACACTGAAACCAATGGAGTAATTACAACAACACGTCTGTACACATTTTAAAGAGCGAGTTTACGGTTAAAGTGTTCATATATTAGCATTCTAACAAATAAATTCAGGCAGAATTATGATGTCACAAACATATGCTCGGGTAGTATTATTTATTTATTCTTTTAAATTAAGTAAAACATCTTTAGAAGGGTTAACATATACAGACGAGATCGTCACGCTGTTTTACAATGGTCCTGCAAAAACGCTGTACAATAACAACAAACAATAAGGTAACCAGAACAAAACAATATAAAATAAAAATAGTAAAAACTTTGGTGGAAAACTATTCCCCGCCGTACACCAACCCGGTATTTCTGATTCAAGGTTTCGGGACCAGGAATTACTGTTCAAGGTTAGGCTTAACTACATCACTTAACTACAATACGGTAAAAACTATCCCCGCCGGACACCAACCCGGTATTTTGGAGTCAAGGTTTCTAGGCCGGAATTACAAGGTAGGACAAATACAATGACTAAAATAAAAATGGTTAAAATCTATACCCCGCCGGACACCATCCTGGTATTTCTGAGTCAAGTTTTCAGGGCTGGGATTACAATTTTTAACTTAACTACAAACCTAACTAAACAATGGTAAAAACTATCCCCACCAGACACCATCCCGGTATTACAATTTTTTAAACTTAACTACAAAATTTAACTACACAATGGTAAAACCATCCCCCTCTGGACACCATTACGGTTTCGGGGCTGGAATTATATATCAAAGAAAATGGGTAGTGATAATCAGAGAAAGTGTTTTTTTATAAGTAATTTTGAATAAATTAAGAGACTGACATTCTTGAAGTCTGATTGGGATTTTGTTCCAAACTTTCGCTCCAGCGATTTTTAAAGAACCATTCATTCAGTTTGAAATTTGGGGATAAACGTTAAGAGCGTGGGCGTATCTCGCAGAGTATCCATGTCGGTCAACAGCGATTTCAATATCATCACATAAGCGGGAAGGTGCAATACCATTTATACATTATTTTTTTACGCATTATTGAGGTTTATGCAGTGTCCACTATTGATGAGTAATTACCATTTTAGCTTAACAACAGATGAAATTGTTTATTCATTTGTTATTCATATTCAGTTTTACTGTTGGTTTTTCCGAACTGTGAGAGTATTGACATTTTAGGGGCTGATTGGCAATAGCTGATTGAATGATGGTTATAGGGGATGATTCGGAAAGCTAACTGGGGAGTGGATTTTGTGGGAAAGGTAATTAAGGTAGGTGTAGTTGGAGGGAGAGTCTATGGTTAAGGTGTTGCTATAGAGCTGAGAAAATATGGGGATGCGAAGTGATATTTAACTTCTGTTTTTTGTTGATGAGAGGCGGCCACACAATATGTATTAAATTTATAAGCCATGAAATACTGGAACCTAGGGCTGAAAGGATTATGATATAATTAATGTCGAAATATTGAATCGCGACACGATGGTGTGCATTTCGATACTTGGAGTATGTATTAAACTATCTTATCTAGGGCTGAAACATAACGTGATACACTTCACAACCTGTCAACAGTGCAAGCTGGGGTAATTAAACATGGCCGGCCGAGAATGGTCATCGTGTGGTTCGAACCCTCGACAACGAGTTTTACAACCTAAATGGAAATCGCTGCGTCAAACCGCCTTATTTGAGTAATTTATTTGCTCAACAAATTTCCACTGGGTCGGGAGGGTGTGAGGCGCAAGATTTAATTTTAAGGAGAGGTGCATTACATTTTTTCCGTCGTAGACGAGTTAAGAACTAAGTATTACTGTAGGTAAATAAATTATCTTCCGTTCTTCCTTAACGTCAACGCCAGTGCGCCGCCACCACTGTGATAGCTATCATTATCAATAAGATCAACACCTTTTAAATATTTGGTTTTTTTTTTATATCGCAGGCCGTCGTTCTTGTGTAGGAGGGCAACTAGCCCGAATGGAACTGTATCTTTTTTTTACGCATCTTCTGCATCATTTTCAATTTACATTGCCTGCAGACAAATCCAAGCCATCCACTTATCAGCACGTTGGAGCAACGTTGACACCGAGTCAATACGACCTGATAATCACAAAGAGAACCTGCTAATCACTTATTGACACAATCACTGTTATACTAATATAGGCCCACACTAGACAGTAGGTTATTTGATCTGTAAACAAGGTACCGATGAAAGTCCTTGTTGTACATGAATAAAGTTAAAAAATTATGAATCATGGAACTCAAAGTATGCCAAACACTAATCTCTTTGGAAGAGCATAAAATAAATGATGTACAGAGAAATCTTAAACACTCAATGGTGATTTAAACTTTGGCTATGTTCATACACGGCAGGTAACGGTAGCAGGATCCGGATTACAAAAATACTCGCTCACCCGTGCTAAGCGTTAGCTACCGTGCGTTCATACCAAACAATCCCCGATCCAGACGATGAATAACTATTAAAGCTCTATTCCCGCCAAATTTTAATTAAAAAACAAAAGGTTTTTTATTGTGAAAAAATGTATATAAAGGCCTTCATTACTATTATTATAAACCATGGAAAATATTAGCATACATTTTAGTTTTAAGCAAAAGGATAAAATCAAGGAGAAATATAGACTATTTCTCAAAGGAGATTACCATTTATCCTTCGTTACTTTGCAAATTCAGAGGTTCTAGATGGCATCCGTTGGAATGCTCTCCACTTTGTGTACTTTATACAGTAAATAAAGTGCGCCCTCTCTAATGATATTAGTTGCTGCGAAGCAGCCAATTCATATTCTTGACAGCAATTTGACCTCTGAAAGGTCATTGTTTGTCAAAAATCAATCGCCTGAGACAACTGAAAAGCGGAGTTTCCTTCTTTCGTTCTGCCGGGTAAAATCAATTACTTTAGGCGACGTTTGTAGACTAACCTACTACGTACCAACGTCGGCATGTCGCGACGCTGGAGTACTATTCAGCGTTTTTACTATATTTCTAGGTTTCCTATTTCTACGTTTAATCGGCTCATGTCTCAGCCACAATATTTTGAGGACAATATTATTT